AGACATATTTTCCCACCTCAAGATTTAAAGTGAAAGAATTTCTTTTCTTTTCTCTTTCTCTTTCTCTTTTTTAATACAATAAATACAACAAGATCAATTTGACATCCAACATCCATAGTTGATTAATTAAATTGAAAAAAAAATAAATAGTAGGAAAACATAATTATGTTACTGCTGTTAATATTTACATTCTACTACAAGCTTCAAAACTCAATATATATACACACTAGCCATCACTAATTATAAAAGAATACATATAAACCAATAAATAAAACCAAAATTATCAATATTTTGTAGCCTCAAGCTGTAAGCCCCTTTATCTTTATCTAAAATCATATAAAATCTTGTAATGAGCATAAAAGCACAACAAGTAACCAAAACTCTATATATACTTTCAATACAAAGCAAAAGAATCAATATGTACATTTCAGTTGTAGTTAATATCAATCATCATTTAATATGAGCATTAAAAATCTCAAAATTAATAATAAGATCAATATGATTAATTAAATCAAAAGAGATCTATCAAATCATAAGAAAAATCAATAAAGGTGATTATCACCTAATAAGCCATATTAGTATATTATGTTATATTACATTAATATTAATGCTAGTATGATTTCAATTATATCTATCAGTTTATTGCACTATCATGTAAATGTAATCATGAATGCATCAGCTTTAATGTAGTGTTTTCATCATTGCACCCTAATTATTGCTTAGTTTAGTATCAATCTTAATCTAACCCTAACTACTAATTAATTGATATTGGTCAAACTCAATTGTAACTCAATTAGGTATCAGTCTTAATTAGGCCAAACTGTCAACCAATTGGTATCGATCTTTATCTTACATGTTAACAATCATCCTTCCATCCAACCTCCCTTGCTTACATGCAAATGCTACATTTTTATGAATATTATGTTCAAAATATAATAATTCATAAAATATAGGAAAATTTAACAAATTTATATATTATGCATTTACTTAAAAAATTATAGCTTCTAATTTAATTGGTGAAAAATCAATATATTCTTGTCAAAATGCCCATATTGACAATATATATCACATATCAAAAGTTATGCAAGAAAAGTTTGCTAAAAGTTAAGATATTGTAACTTTTGCAAGTTTTAAACAAATTAAAATGCATAAATATAAATTACATAAAATCACATAAATAAAAAATAAGATAATTATTTCTTACAATTAGACGAGTAACTTATACAACAGGACGGACTGGCAAAAATTGCTCTATGGCTCCCAAACCTAGACATTTCTTTTTCATCCCATACTTTTCTCTCTATTTTTTCCTAAGGATGTTAATATTTGACACAACCCAAAAACCCTACCCGAACCCGACCCAAAAATTTTGGTTTAGGGTCAACCTATTTGAGAAATGGATTTGGTTCAAGATTTTACCTGTTTGTAAAATCTAATCGGGTTCGAGTTGACCCGAAAACCCAAAAACCAACCTGGATTGCACCGTTCCTCTTCTCCCACATTGGTTATGCAGCTCACAAGTCCTAACCTGTGATTCCACTTGCTAGCCCTAACTGGCAATTCTGAAACCAACCCGCATTCTAGTTTTGCTCGTAATCTACCTGGCGCTTCTCGAAGGAGAATGACATCTCGATGGAAGCTACGAAGGTTGCTTGCCTCTGTCATGTCTCCTGAACAGACCTCCGGTAACGCACAACCACTATAATTTAAAGATGCGATGGCGGCGAGTCGTTTTTGATCAACACCAATACTTGCATCGGCGATGCCCACTGCACACCTTTTGCGATATCAAAGTCAACTATGTGCACCCGCTACTCTCCGAGGACGGACTCAAAAATCGCTTTATTCAATGGACTCGAGCTCTCAGGCGATGGACTCGAAGCTTTGAGGATGTGTAAACTAAGTCGTGTCGGGTTGACCCAGACCTGAGGCGGATCAGGTTTGGGTATGAGAATCTGACCCATTTTTAAAAATAGGTCGGCTCGGGTCAAATCAAATAGTACCGGATCAGTTTTGGGCTGGACTTAAACCCGACCTGATTTCAACATTCCTAGTTTTTCCCTTCTGCTTCATTGGCTTCAATTTCATGAATGGGAAGGGAACTTAATGGATTATAGGTAATGACTACAAATATTTTTATAATAAAATAATAGTATAATATTAATATAATTATGTTATTATTTAATTCTAACAAATAATTATTATAATTCTTTTTATATCTTCAAATTTGGAGCTCTAAAAATTATAGAAAAATAATTATAAAATAACCCATCATATTTAAAAACTTTGACGAAATTGGTTTGCAAAAAGGATAGCTGATGGTCCCAAAACCCCACTTGTACTGACATGTATTAATTTCTTAAGAATTTGCACTAATGTCAAAAAAATTATGAAAAAATTAGTGTAATTAAAGCTCTATAATATCTTTGTTATGGAAAAGATTGTTTGTGATTTAGACTTATAGTAACTCCTTTTTTTTTTTTTTTTTTTTTTGTAACTCCTATTTTTTTTTTTTTTTTTGGGTCAAAATACGGACTATTATATCTATAAATTCATGGAAGATCTGTTGCATTGTATTTGGTATGGGCATAGAAATCACAAAACATACTGCTCTTTTATATGGCTACTGATCACTTATCTTAAATTATATTTCTTATATTGATGCCCACCGCTTATGTGAATTAATATTATTTATATTGATGGTTATCAGTGTTTACTTTTATATGTTTATACTGATATGGATTAAATGATTACGTGTATGTTATTTCTATCATTTTGCATTGATTGCAATTGTAGATTTTGGTAACCTGCAAACTATTAGCTCACCCTTATGGTTTTTACATATTTTTAGGAAGATGTTAAGATCTAGTGAAGTGAGACTAATCTAATCAGGATTGTTAGGTTTTGTATTTTATGTTTTAGTGTTTTGTTTTTATTCTTTTATAATCAAGAATATTAAATGATAGGATTGATGTTATTGGTTATTATACATAAATTTTTGGAAATGAATATGAAATTACGTATATGATTTATAATTATTTTCACAAGATTTATTTTATGATGGTGAATTATTAGAAGCTTTCGTTGATTAATTAAGAGATTAAAATAGACAATTTTGTTATATTAGATTTTGAGGCATCACACACAATCCTCTAATCAAGTGGTGTATAAAAACTTTCAATCTAGTATTAATATGGCCTTATGAAACTTTGAATGGTAAAAAGTGCATGATATATTTTTCTTGGACAAATGTGAGAAAAAATACATTAGGGCCAACTCTAGTGGATGGTGCTACTGAAAAGATTCGTCTGTTCTGGGATAGGTTAAAATCCACACAAAATAGGCCAAAGAAATACTATGACTTGAAACATTACTCTGTAGAATTTCAAATTGAAGACTTCGTATTCTTGAAAGTGAGCTCAATGAAAGGAGTAAGCAAAGAATTCTACATGGCAGGCGAGCCGAGTCTAAGGTATATTTGAACATTTGAGGTCCTTGAAAAAATTAGAAAATTGTTTATCATCTATTATCGTCTAAACATATGTTTGAAGTTCATAATGTACTCCCTATATGATTTTTAAGAAAATATGCATCCAATGTGAATGCAGTGTCTTTGAAAAGGAAGGTGAAGTATACCCAGATCTAAACTATTGAGAAGAACCTAAAAATATTTTGGCATACGATATTAGAAAGTTATAGAGTAAATATATTTTGATGGAAGTTATAGAGTAAATATATTTTGATGGTTAAAATACAGTGGAAACATCGATCTAACGGTGAAGCCACCTCGTAGAACAAATTTGAGATGAGATTGTTATATCTTAATCCTTTTGATTGATTTGTACATTAAAATATTAAGGATAATATTTTTCTTAGGATGAGAGGTTGTAACATTTATATTTTGCATATCTTAATTTTTAATAATTCGAAGTTCTCACAATATTCCTTAAATTTTAATTTAAATTTTGATGCAAAATTAGATATATCTCATCATTTGGTAAATTTTTACGGTGTAACTTTTAGTATATCATAATTATCAATATTCTAAATATTATAACATTTTATAATAAAAGTATAAAATGTACTAACACATCTAAATAGTCTGGTAGTATAATAAAAGTTTCTAAATGTAGATATTTACAATATGTATTAATTTGATAAATTTCTAAAAATGTTAAAATTCTTTTACGGCTTTCTATTTTTAAAAGCTGTTATTATAAACAACTTCTTAGTATAAATATTTTTTTAAAGCAATAAAAAAATAATTACCAAATAAAAATTATAATGATCTGAAAAGCAAAATAAAAAAATTATCTCAAACAAAACCTAAATATCATCATAAGCCACAAGTGATTGGGGAAAAATTTAAAAGGACTATCAACATTGCAGATCAGAAGAGTAAAGGGGAATCACCATTTCCTAGTAACTGCTAAGTACAACCTTGGCTTCGTTTGAAATAATTTTCTAATTACTTTTCTAAAACAGATTTCTAATACAAAAATTTTAGTTCAAGAGATTTTTCTGCTAAAAAAAATCGTCCCAAACAAAACTCTAATCTATGGCAGGGCAAAACGGAAATTTATGCACTGCAAAACACTAGCATTATGTTACAACACAAGAATATACATATCATCCCAACTTTTGCTCGAAATCTGCATAGATAAAGTTTTTCTATAGCATGTAGGTGCATTTGTAGGAAAAAAAAAAATCGGACAATGTGTCAAAGTATCAAAAAATTATTAGGTGCGGACACCGGACGTAGAGATACGGCCGGACTCCAATAAAATGCTGACATGTGGAGTGGACATGTGGATATTCAATTGAACTTATTTTTTTACTTTATATATTTAATGAGTCCGTGGAACTTTAAGCCAAGCACATTAAAAACGCAGCCAAAGCATAGTCAAAACGCAGTAAAAAAACTCAACAAAAGAACAGTCAAAGTGCAACTAAAGTGCAGGTAAAGCACGAGTAAATGTCACAAAAAAGCACAAGCAAAATGCACTCAACGTGTCATATTTTAAGTTAATGTGCAAACGTATCTCTACGTCCGGTCTCCGCAAGTACCACCCAGACACTCCAGAAATGATGAGACATGCATTTAAAAATACAAAAACTAAGTCACATACAAAAGAATAAACTAGCAAACTCAACAAGGTAAATGCAATAATATCGCACATAATTGTCACTGCAAATCAACATAGATGCCTTTCTATACAGAAAAGATTTCATGCTCTTGAGAGTACTAAAGAGAAGTCCGTCTTACTCACTCTTAGCGCATCTTGATCCAGTGAGAAGAAAAAGGTCCCCATGTTGAATATCCTGGAGGTCTGAAAGAATTATAAAAATGATAAAATCATGAAGCACAATTTGGCAGTCCTTAGAGCTTATTCTGCTGAACAGCCTAACGCGAAAGCATTTTGAAGGCTCCATGCAACTGGCCAGCTCAAATCAAGCATTCCAGAGAGCTGAAAATGTTTTACAATTATAACAAAGGAGCACTACAAGTTCTCCAGCAGCATAGCTCGGATTTTTGCCCTAAGATCATTAGGAATCTCAGTAGCATCAGAAGGTTGTTTCCCATCGGATGCTGCTTGGTCTGCACTGATAGAAACGCCTGTAAAGCTAACTGATGGTGCTTCAGAATTATCTATGGACTTCAAAGTGTCTTTATCTTCGCTCTCTCGCTTTCTATTCGAATGCGAATGATGCTTCCTTTGGCGCAGATCCTCATCATCTGATGAGTGATCATGATGAATCCGATGACGACGATGATGCTCAGAACTCCTTTTGTGCCTGCGTTCATCTTCTGAAGAGCTGTAGTGCTTATGACGATTTCTTGCCTCTTTTTCTTTCGAGTGGTGCTTCTTCCTGGTGTGTTTTCGATCTTCATCAGAGTCAGAATCATCATTATGACCTCTATATCTTGAATGGTGTCTCTTCCTAGATTCATGTTCCCTACCTAAGGTCTCGGTATCAAAGGGCACTGAGCTTCCTTCTCTTTCTCTGCCTAGAGACTTAGAATCAGTGTCCATATGCATGGAGCCACCAGTAGAAGGTTCCATACTTCCACTGCGGTTGCTACCTGAGTTCACGAGTTCACCTAAACAATTATTGCCACTCTTTATCACAGCTGCGAACATTTTTGCTCGCCTCAACCTCTCAGCCTTGAGCTTTTGCTCCTTTGTCATGGCGGCTTCAGCAGAATCAGCTTCCCTCGATGCTGCAAGGGCTACAGTTTTGGCAATAACTGTAGCAACTGTTACATCACTGCTTGTGGTTTGATAACTCTTCTTATCTGATTGGGTAGTAGATTCTGATAACCCAGCTGACACTGATATACTTGAAATGCCATTGGAAGCAAACTTCGAAAAAGGTTTAATACCCTGTAAACTGCCAGAACTAGAGGTTCGACTGTTATCTCTAGGCATGTTTTGTGGTGCACAAGCAGGGCTCCTGCCTCTTGTTGCAGCCATAACAATAGCAGCAGCTTCATCTGCAGTAGCTCCAGAGTTTTTAGATGAGTGTCTTCCGCCATCATCGGGTGACTTCTTGCGAAGGGTATTTGCAGGACTTACACCTCTTGTTGCTGCTAGAACGATGGCAGCAGCTTCATCTGCACTTAATCCAGAATGCTTGGTAGCTTTGGGTTGTTGATCCTGTGAATCTTTCTTCTGCCCACCTAAAACCATCTTGAATTTCTCCTTCCTTTGAGGGTCATAATATGCCCCATCTGAAAGCTCATCCAAGTTACGACCATTTATCTTAGCATCCTTTCCAAGATTTTCGCTCTTTTTCTTGTTCCCTCTATGGTGCTCTGCATCATTTTTCTCATCAAAAAGGTTTTTACCTTGCATCTTCATCTGTAAAAGGTAAAGACAATTAAGCAACATGAAGAAACATAGCTTTTAGACATGAAATTTTTGCTAAATTTTATACTGAAAGCAAAATTTCAACTAGAATTGGAAGGTAAGCATGATAAATAAAACGTTTTACCAATTTTTTTTCAAGGAAGAAGCAATCATTCTGTAGATGGTCAGTAGAATTTTTGTTAGTGAGCGTGGATCAAAGTTAGGTATGATACACTATTGGTCGAAGTCATTTTCAACCATAAAACTTCAAGGGGACATTTCAAATATTTTTTTAGGTTTAAATTTTGATATAAAATAATATCATATTTGCTATATTAAATATAGGCTATTTTTATTGAATATCGCATAAGTCGATTTATTTTATTATTTGGAAGAGGGTAAAGCCGACACAGCTGGAGCGTTAGCGGACCAAACATCATCAGCTTTGCTGCGAGGTTGGCCAGAGAAAGGTGCAGAGTTGTCCTATAGTAGGTGCGCGGTTGACAAATGTGGGGTGTGAGGTTAGGTGGTTGGGGATTCATGGTTTGAAAACAATTAAGACACCCTAAAAGTTATTTTTGATATTTTAAAAACAACTTAATTCATTTTTTTAAAATAGAAAACAAAAATACTAATCAAATATGTTTTATTCAAATTTTTAAAATAAAAACGTGATGCCAAACACACCCTACCCTAAGCCTTTAGGCAAGGGATAATCACTTAGTATTTCTATATCAACATATTTTCGCATTAAACTCAATACTCTCACATGCTATAACAATCTCTTCTCACATAAGAGCTCTCTACATTGATCATCACTCTAACTCATCAGAAGTTTTTTAACATCATCAAGTTCATTCACAAAAGTTCACCCAATCACATGGAGGTATCATAAGTGTCATCTGCTCTTTAAAACATTTTAAAAAATGAAAGTGGTAGTGAAGACCCAAGGGAGTCACAAATTGCATGATCCAATCGACTCAACATAAACCACCAGCTTTAATACCACATGTTATAGAGTGAATAAAAGGGAGACCAAAGTTAGACCAGATAGACTAATGGTCAAATTTAACTTTAATCCAAAAACTTAAACCTTTGGATGAGGGTAAACAACTTAATATTTCTATATCAATATATTTTTCATCTGTCTTATATTGGACCAAACAAAATGCTCGTGTTTCTTAATAATTTTCAAATCGAGATTTCATGATTCCTTTTTATGAATCAACTAAGGAAACATGGATGATATGAGGACTAGGCGGTCCTATAAAGTAGAAAATTACTTATGAAGGAATTTTTAAAATGAATAAACTGTGGAACATATGCTTCTAAACTGCAACAATGTTCCCACAAGTTAAGAATTCAGCTTCGGCTGTCAATATCAAATCTGAAACGTCCGAATCCATTAAAAGCAGAAACCTAGAGTTCAAGCCAGACAATCAAGTGATTGCTCAACTATAAAAATAACAAACAAAATATATCCAATGCATATATCCAATGCATATTGTATACATCTTCTTTGCAACTCATTACCAAAATCAAACCAAATACTTGCATCAAGCGCCGGAAAGAAAATACATACCTCATGAGCTTCTTCAAATATCTTTTGGTAGTATGAGTAGTATTGGTTGGTTGAAATAAGAAATGGAAATCTTCCAAAATTCCTATCCTGCTCAATGAGTATTGCTTCAAATTGCTTACCATTCCTAACAATAAATTCAACTATTTTTTCTATAGTCCTTTTCAGAAAAGATGGAGGCTCCAGTATTGATGACTTCAGATCAGCAGTGCCTTTGTGAGAGCTTTGTGCAAGTTCTTTTACAAGTGAAAGACCACCATCTCCTGTCTTCCTGCTCATAGCAATAGTAGTCGCATTTCCAGAAGATATTTTCTTAACTGACAAAGGCTTTTCCTTGGTGCAAGTAGAAGATGGCAATTTGATTGGTCCTTCATTTCCTAAAAATGCTCTAGGGGCCTCACCATTTTCTGTTGGAACTGTTGCATTACCATCAGAGGCCAAATTATGGTTCTCTGTTTCTTTAATCTCAGTTCGAAGTGTGGCATCATCATCATCTCCAGTACCATATACAGATCCAAGCAATGATAAAGCTCCCACTTCAGAAGAATGATTGTTTGACTTGTCTTCCTCCAATTTTGGAGAATCAGTATATTGCTTCAAAATTTGAGGGTGATCAACAAGATATCGAAAGTAGGCATGTAAATGGTGATCTGGCATCAAGAAACCAAATGTTGGGTTGTTTCCCTGTTTAACCCGCAGGACAATCTCTGATTGCCCACCATGATCACTAACAAATATTGCAGTCCTTGCCATTATCTGGTGCAACTTCTCTGTAGGAGGCTGCGAAAAGACAAGAAAAATACAAACCTTTAATACAGACAAATATATAGCAAAAAGAGCATAAGAGTAATGAAAAAAAAAACTAATTTGAAGCAAGTGAAGATTAATATAATTCTCAAAAATATAAAAAAACATGCTTATCCCATTTTTGGTAAATTTCGTTGCATATGCCACATATTATTCTAATCCCACCTGCCTAGTCCTTACTTCATGACACATCACAAGGAAACATGTGCCAATGAATGGCAACCTTAGTAATACTTCATCTCTGCTCCAAGCATCTGAAATTTAGACATGTAAGCCTTAGAAGAACAAATGCAGCTTGGATAATTATTGCTTTGCCAACTTGGATGTTTTAATAAGAATCTACAAACAACATTGTCATCGTTATCTGCCAAGAAAGAACTGCACCGTAAATGATGGCAATGCATATGCTCACTTACTAGGCAGTTTGTGAGGAATTCAGGCACTTCGAATGGTGGACGAAAACCAGAATTATACTCGATATTCTCATGAATGGAATGCAAATTTTTGTCCCCATATGAAAATGGAACAGCTTGGTAAGCACCAGAACATGTTGCTGCTGATGTTTCCCTGGTTGCTGCATGGAAGAATAGATAGCTTTCAATCATTAAAAAGGCTGTAAATGACAAAATATCAGAAACAAAATATACCGCAAAACTAAGAAAATCGTCAAGAGTACATAGAGGTTTCTTACTTGACGGTGTCAGAGATGCTCATGTAGTAAATAAAGCATCCTTTCCTGCAAACTTAAAAGCTCAAAATTCACCATTATCTTGATCAACATTGGATTCTCTTCATAGAGTGGTATAACTAGGTTAGGGAAAAAAGTCCCAAAAAGAAAAAGAAGGAAAAAAAATAAGGGATAATTTTCAAATTTTGTTTCCTTTTTGGCGCCTAGCCACCAACAGCATTCATATCCCAACAGGATTATAAAACTGAAATTAAAGCAAAGTGTGTTCTTTCGTTCTCTGAAATAGATAAAACAAAGCAAAGGTTCCATAATAACTAGAAATGTATTGCATTATTCCCCAAATGCTCTCCTGACTCTTTAGACTAGTTATAGCATGATTTGGGAAAGAGCAAAAAGGTGAAAAAATAGAGTTAGGGACTGCTTAATTGCAAGTGTTTAGAATACATGTATACTTTAAATGCAGTGTAAGTTAAATACAATGTACTCTGAATATTCAATGTTAGGTTGGTTGTAAAATAAATTCAAAAAATAATTGTTTCTAGTGTTAATTTGGAGAAAAAAAAAATTTGAATTTTTTAATCAATATTTTTGGAGAGTATATTTTTAATGGAAAAATATATTTTTATATGGAATATATATTTTTTCAACTTTATTTTTAGATTGATCTAGGGCACAACGAGTTTGATGATGCCAATCAGGTATAGTAACACCACAATTCGTGAGCATAGGAAGGGTAGGAGGTCTTAAGCTAACACAAGGATGTCGGCGCTTAGAGATATACTTTGGATTTTTTTAACTTCCAACCAAGCACCAAAAAATGTAAAACACTTATATATGTTTTACTCTACACTTCTAATACAAGGCATTCAAAATCTATTAGAGAAAAACTTTGGATTTTTTAACTTCCAACCAAACACCAAAAAATTTAAAACTCTTATATATGTTTTACTCTATACTTCTAATACAACAAAACAAATAGCGCCTTACTAATACCACCAACTAAATTGCAAAATTCAAGTATTCTATGGTAGTTATGATATAAAGATATCACATTTATTTACTTATTTGCAACACACTCACTTGTTCTGATTTTAATCAACTCTTTGTTGCAGTAAATTCACAAATATGAGAATAAGGGAAATTTCATTATTAAAAAAAGAAAATATGTCCATTTCAATGGCTTAAGCTCCATTAACATTCTGTTAGGCTGAAAGAGCTAAAAAAAGGTTCAAATCAGTCATTCCAAAGATTTGTTCCCTCCAAGGATAGTGTTGATGCAAATTGAGAATCCAAAATTATGCTACAGAAGGAAGGTCTTCATTTCTACCAAGGAATTCAAATTGTCATTTCACGAGATTGTTTTTCCATCACCTCCACTTTCAATCTATTAAACAGGACGTGAAAATCAGAAAAGAAGAACTAAAAGCAAAGTGGCTTATTCAGGTCATATTTTATGCGTCCACTTTTGCCATCTCTACAAAGTGTTCATTAATCAAGTTTAAACCAAAAAATAAAAATTTCTCTGATCTAATAACTTTAGAACACAATAAAAGAAAATTAAAGATCAACACAGCTATGAAAATCGAAAGAAAGGCAAGGAGAAAACGACTAATAACACATCGATTCTTAACTAACCTGAATCAAAATCCTCTCTCTCCTCGTCTCCAGGAGGAAGGTGCCGATATCTCTCGCTGTCGAGCTCAGCCAGCGCTACGGCATCGCAGGCGTCATCCAGGACGCGCTGCCTCCGTGTAGAACCGGCCGGGCGTGGCGGAATCCGGTCAAGGAGGTGGCGTACGTCGTAGCGGTCGATGAGTAGAGACGCGTCGTGATTCCAAGGAACAAGCGCCTCGCGGGAGTTGACGAAAGACGCTGTCGGGTCGTCGTCAAATAGCAGCGCGTGCCGACCAACTACCTCAAGGTCCATGGCGACTGATACTCCGATTGAATGACTGCCGACGGTATGTTCTGAATTGAAAGAGGTAATGGAAACCCTAGAAAACCCGGCGACGAGAAGGAAACGATAAAGAGAAGAACATGCGAAGGTCGGATCTTGTAACGACGGATGACGCCCGTCGACAGATATGACGTGGCGCAGGATAGTAGGCTTTGGAAACGCGTTAGTCTTGACCGTCCGATAAGGTTTTGACGGTAAGAAGGAAGAAACAAGCGTTGGATGGGATCAATTGTATTGTGGGTGGTATTAAAACTTTATTAATAAATATGAATTAAATCAAAGGAAAAATATAATATAGTTTTATTATTTTATAAGAAAGTTTAGATATGAGAATATAATATAGATTCTATAAAAAATATTGATATATATTTATTTTAAATTGAATAAATCTAGTTAGATATTATAAGCTACTAAAATACATAGAAAACTTAAAATATGTTCCAAAGTAAGGAACTAGCTATGATGAAGGTTTCGTTTGGGACGACCTTTTCATTGCTTCTTAAAGCAGTTTCCTAGTAAAAAAAAAATTAATTTTTGTACTAAAAAATAGATTTAAAAAGCAATAAGAAAGTCGCTCCAGACAAAGTTGAAGTCTTCAAAGACTTCACTTTGAGTTGAGAAGTAATTTTGAAGCTTGAGCCAACTAATTTGATGAGTATGGCTAGTAATAGTATCCTTAATTACTTTAGGCGATGATGGTACCAAGATTTTTGTAAGTTCTTAGAAAATGTATCACATAGTTTGAACACTTGACTCGTTCATCAAGTCCTTTGGCAACTTGAACTTCGTGGTAAATTAATGCAATTTTTCTGTCAAATCACAGTGAACTAATTACTTTGTGATCAACGAGAGGTGATTAACCTGACCTGTGTGACATGGGTGCAAATGAGTTCCACAATTCTTTTATTTATGTGATGAAATTCACAAAAATAAAAGAATGAAAATATCATCATGATGAGTTGGTACATAATTATGACGAATAACATAAATTTAATAGATGGTCAACATATTTGTTATCTCGAGTCTATAAATTCTACTTGACTTTTCCTAAAAATCCATCATAGATTTTCTCATATATTTGAAGGTATAAATAAAATAAACAACTATGCTAGCAATGAAGTTTTTGTTACTTTGTTAGAGAGCTTCAAGGAATGAGAGAAGCTCAAATCTCTTGGTGAGTCCTCTTATATGCAGCCTTTAAAGAAGATTAAGGTGGAAAAGATAAAGAGAAAAAATGTGGATGACAAGAATAAAGTTGGTGTTATGAGGACATTATAATTGATCTTTTTCAGCCTATCTTTCTAGAAAAGAAGGTTAATTATAGCTCTTCTTTAAATAAAACTTTTGAAGTGTCAAAGAAATTCTTTAACAATAGTATTAATTTAATAATAGTATTGATTTAGCATTGCATAGCATTCTTATTTATTTATGAGTTTTAACCTTATAATGGCATAAAGGTATGAATATGCTAAAGTCTCTATTGATATTATTGAGAAAAATACTTTTGTGACGAGCTAGAAGTTACTCGTAAAGAGCTAAACAAGGACAAAAATACAGATACTCATGAAGAGCCAAATAAAGAGGCATATGTTTAAGTGGAAGCTATAGGATCTATTATAATGTCAATATCAAAATCAATAAATATGAAGTCTACTTCTATTATGATTAGTTAGTTTGAGGATTTGCTTAATGATTTTGATACTTTAAAAGAAAATATATTTTTTTTCCTTTCAATCTTGCTTTGAACTTGAAGAGATGAAGACTATAGAAAACTTGTCAAAGTTAATTTTATTGGATAGCCAAGAACGCATCTTTGGGCTAATTGGTGAAAAACATATAAATGTTTTATCTAGGGACAAGATGGCTTAGCTAAAGAATGTTGCAACTCGAGCTTTCGAGTTTATGATTTTGATGATAACAAATAATATTTATTAATCTTTTATTTCTCCTAGTATTTGCAGTGCATATGTCTTTTGATGTTGACTAATATTTTAGGTATATCATGCACCGTTCTTTGAAGATTCAAGGCTCAAGATTGCATAGAATTGGTTGTATTAAATGAGTCTGTAATTTTTATTTTTTGAGTCAAGTCTTGTAATGATGCATGTTAGTTTCTTGATCATGCACACACACAGAGGGAGCAAAAAATGGTTATAAATATTTTAACTTTTCTGTTCATCGTACTGTACGAATTTATTTCGTACTCTACGATCTCGTGTAACAGAAATAAATTAAAATATTTATTTTTCCTGGAAAAATTATTTTTGAATATAACTAATCGTACTATATGATCACCACATCGTACTGTACGATCTTTATTATTAGAAAGCCTGTCGTCCATTAAATTAGGCAAGAATTTGAATTTTAAAGTTGTTCTGCTCGTACTGTACGATCATGATCATACTGTACGATCATGATCGTACTGTACGATGTTTAAAATATTGCCTAATTTAATTCGTTCATCATTCAATAAAAATGACTTAATTTTGATGTATTGATCGTACTGTACGAACTGAATCGTACTGGACAATTAACAGAGACAATTTTGGCGAACTGCCCATTTATTGAACTGTTCGTACAGTACTAAACGGACATCGTACAGTACTAACAGGTCAATTTCTGCATATCGTACTGGACGATCTTGCGATCGTACGGTACGATATTTGATGGCTGAATTGAGTTTTTTTAATGTTTTAAGCCCTCTATTTAAGCACTCTCATAAAACTTTGTAAGAGTCTTTTGGCGGCCATTGTATCTTCATTCTTTTGGAGAAAACTTGAAGAGAGGACTTGAAAGGGAGAGAGGAAAGGGTGAAGTTTGAGAGAGGGAGAAGATCCTTGGAGGGGGTTTCAAGGGAGTGTGAAAGAGATTTCACACGGTTGCTCCGGCGAGCTTGCACCTCAGTACCATCGGATTCAAGGTTCGTCTTGAAGGAAGTTTTGGGAAGAAGAAGATCTTGTTGGTGTCAAAGGACCCGGCTCCTCCGCCGCACCGGGGAAGGTGGAAGTGATTATGTAAGGGCTTCTTCGCCTAGCTGTGGGGGCTAAATGAGAATCACTAAATGTTTAGTATAATACTCGGAGGGTGCCTCCGGGGAGTGGACGTAGGTCATGGTTTGATCGAACCACTATAAATTGGTGTGTTCTTTCCTTTATTTTTTTTGTACTTTATTTCTGCATTTATTTTTAGGGGTTTTTACAGCCATACCACTTTATAACATCTATTTTACATATTTAACACCTAAAACATAAATATTTCATATACACCACCCTAACACAATTTTAACCTCAAATATACCACTCCGTTCCTTATTGAGTTCACGGAGTTATCACCCGAACTCTTTCTTTCCCGCGCTTGCTCTGTTAGGTGTTCGCGGTCGATTAAGCTCTCTCTCCCGCGGACAACTCCGTGCATTTTTCTATTTGAAGTTTCCTCTCCCAGGTCGATTACAGCTCTGCGTGCTCTCTTTCCTGCGAACGACGAACTCCGTGCATTTTTCTATTTGAAGTTTCATCTCCCAGGTCGTTCTCTCTCCTCTGTGTTTGCTGTTGTCGGAGGGCGAGAGCGAACAAAAAAAGAGGCAAACTATGCAGGTAAATGAGAACTTGAGGACAAAAAGAGGTTAATGCAGGAATCTAATGATTATCTGTTTAAATGAGTTTTATCCGTCTAAATGAGTTTTAGCTGTTTCATTTATCTGTTTTTTTTTTTTTAAGATTTGAAACTCATTTATTTATTTGTTAATGCAGTTAAATGAATACCTAACAAGTATTCAGTAGATTACTCATTTATTTGTTTGTTAATGCAGTTAAATTACTTAAACGATTTGAAACGACCCTATTTGTATATGTGTACGAACTGACTTCGTACAGTTGATCGTCCTGTACGAACTTGGTTCGTCCAGTACGAACGGTTATTACTAGGTCGGTTCTAGAAACTGCTGAAAACTGTTCTAAGTCGGTTAATCGTTTGGACGAAAATTTATTCGTCTGGATGAAATTTTTACAGAGGACCGATCGTCCTGGACGATAATTAATTTCGTTTGGACGAAAATTTTACAGAGAGCAGATCATCATGTACGATAATTTAATTTCGTTTGGACGAAAATCTTACAGAGACCAGATTGTCCTATATGATATTTAATTTCGTCTGGACGAAAATTTTACAGAGAGTAAATTGTCATGTAAGATAATTTAATTTCATCTGGACGAAAATCTTACAGAGAACAAATCACCCCGGACGATTTTTAATTTCGTCCTGGACAAATAGGACTTAGAAAAAAAATTTTCAAGCCAGTTCCTTTTCGTTCCATGTGCTCAATAGGAGATAACTGTCTGATCGTCCTGTACGAACTGATATCGTTTTGTTTGATCAGTATAAATTTTATATGATCTCCTTATGTGTCTGTGTATGTTTTTATTCACTCAAATTACAATCACTCCCTTTCAAATTTATTTTAAAGAAAAGTACAAGCTTCAAATTCACAAAGTATCTCATGCTGAATTTGATTTGAAGTCTTCGTAGTCTGGAGTTTGATTTTCCTAAAATGTTAGTACACACAAGAGCAAATACAAATCTTCTAAAATTGTTAGGAGATAACTATACATTTGAACAATAATGTTTGGAATCATCAAAACTATACAAGTTGCAAAAATGTAAAGCATGCAAATAGCAACTA